GGTCGCACGCCTTCCATACACCTTCTGATTATCATACGATCACGGGATTTCCCGTGATTATCGTGCGATAATCGGCAGGTGTATGGGCACCTTTTAGGGAGAATCTCCTGCACTTCTCTCTGTGTCCTGTGTCTCTCTCAGATCTCTCCCTCTCCTGGGTCACATTTACTCTCTGCTGCCCCAAGTCCAAGTTCCTCAATGTTTCCCCCCTCCCCCCCCCACCATTCTTATTTACAGATATGACTGTTAGACCAGATAAAAAGACATTGGGGGTAATTGATCAAGACTGGAGCAAACAGAATCTGGAGCCGTTCCCCTTGGCAACCAATCAGCTTCTCTTCAGTTTACTCAGGTAAGATTAGAAACTGAGTCAGAGAAGCTGATTGGCTGCAGTGCAAATCGGCTCCAGATTTTGCCTGCTCCACTTTAGATAGATCCTCACACTGTGCGGGGTCACCGGGGATGTTCAGGGTCACTGGGGATATGTGAAGTCACTGGAAATTGTTTGGTGTCACCAGGGATGTCCGGGGTCACTGGGAATTGTTTGGTGTCACCGGAAATTATTTGGCGTCACCAGGGATGTCCGGGGTCACTGGGAATTGTTTGGTGTCACCGGAAATTATTTGGTGTTACCGGGGATGTGTGGTGCCACCGGGGATAGTTTGGTGTGACTGGAGATTTTTGATGTCACCGGGGATGTGCGGGGTCACTGAGGATGTTTCTAAATAAATCCGTTATTTTGTTCTGATCGATTACTGGAGACAACATATAATAGATTTCTTCCTCCAACTATGGTCACATCTCCTGGTCACTCTGCACTGCCCAGGGGGAGGTACCACTGTGCACGAGAGAAGCAAAGCATTGTGGGAAAAGTGACGCCAAATAATCCCTGGCGATCACGCACATCCTCGGAGACACCACACTTCTCCGGTGACCCCGCACATTCCCGGTGACTCCACACATCTACAGGGACAACATACAATCTCCGGTGACACAGCACAGTGGGGGATCTATCGAAACTGGAGCAGGCAAATTCTGGAGCAGATTTCCACTGCAACCAATCAGCATCTCTCTCATTTTCAAATTTTACCTGCGCAAACTAAAAAGAGATGCTGATTGGTTGCCAGGGGGCAACGGCTCCAGATTATGTTTGCGCCAGTCTTGATCAATTACCCCCAATGTCTTGTTATCTGTTCTAATAGTCATATCTGTAAATGAGAAGAATGGTGGGGGGAGGGGAGGGGTGGGGGGGGGCATTGAAGAACCTGGACTTGGGGCAGCAGAGAGAGTAAATGTGATCCGGGAGAGGGAGAGATCTGAGAGACACATAGAGGACACAGAGAAGGTCTACAGTACTGGACAAGTGCAGGAGATTCTTCATACACACACACACACACAGCAGTGACAGGAGATCTCCCTCGCACACACAGCTATGACTCATCTCTGCTCTATGGGATACGCTGGGATTGGCAGAACACCAAGGAGCGTTGTCAGTGCATGCCATATTATACAAAGGGTTACAGACCAAGAAAGGTCGCTCGCACCTTTCCAGTACATCAGTCAATAAAAGATAAGAATGGGTAAAACCAGAGAAAAGTGTTTTTTTTTTTTTCATCAACTTAAACCCAGGTTCCCATTTGAAGATGGTGGAGTTTGGGAGAAATGGCCAAGGGTGGATGCATCCCTTTCCAAATATTACAGAATACAGTTGTTGAAGATCCCTCCTTCAAGATTGTTGGTTACTCACCCCTCTCGTTATCCCGACCAGGCTCTAGAGATGACAAAGTCTATTCATTAACTCCTCGATCAGGGGGTAATTTGTTCAGTGCCTATATTGAGAGAAATGGAAGGACTCTATTCCTAAATCTTTCTAAGGTAGAAACATTCAGGGAAATTCAGTCATTCTGAATCTCAAGCCTTTAAACAAGGTTTTCTGGATGGAATCGATTTTTATACAGTCAGGGAGTTATTAACTCCAGGAGTATATATGGCCATGGTGGACTTGACACATCCCTATTGCAGAGGAAGCTCAAACATTGTTGAGGTTCGTGATCAAGGGGCTTGGAGAAATGTTTGCATTTCCAGTTCAAAGCTCTGCCTTTCGACCTTTCCTCAGCGCCAAGGATATTTACAAAGGTCTTAGCAGGAGCGCTGATACCTCTCAGGTTGAAGGGAATAGGAGTCATTCCATAGTTGGACAACCTTCTACTTTTTGTGAACAATCGGGAGGTCCTCAGAATAAATCTATCCACGTCCAAATGATTCCATCCCAAGGGTAGTGTTTTTAGGCTACCAAGTGCATACGAAAAAGCCTGTTATTTTTTATTTTTTTCCTTCCAGAAGAAAAAACTGCAAAATAACGGCAGAAACAGTGGATCTCTGTTCAAAGCCAAAAGCATCTTTCAGGTTCATCATGAGGATTTTGGGGCTGATGACTCCAGCCATTCCGGCAGTAGTTTGGGCACAATTGTATGCTAGACCCCATCAAAATATAGAATATCAAAATATTCTATTGGCAGAATGGGATGGCCAACCAGAATCGTTAGACAAAGAGGTAACAATACCCAGGGCAGTAATCCAGTCACTGAAATGGTGGCTGAAGCGCTCGGATCTCACTCATCAGACATAGCAGAGCGAAGAATGGAAGTTCTTCGCTCTGCTCTCCATTCTCCATCCTGAGATCATTTGCCGGGGACCCCGAAAACCATGGGAGGGAGTAGGGACATACAGGCTGGTACAAGTGATCTGATCAGACCACTTGTATAAAACGTGCAGTTCCACGCTGTACATTTAGATCTGCTTGCCCAAAGCAGGGCTAAATGTACAAAAAAAAAAAACCTCCGACTCCTCTTCCTCCAAACACGGCTAGTCGAGTTATTTACATTGTCATGTTATCTATAGTTCTACATCCCACACATCAGCGATAGGGATAAAAATCCCACTCCAAAGAAAGTGACCAATTTTTTGGGTGGGTCTCTTACATTAATGGGCAATTTATCTCTTAATGAAGGGGCTTTTCTGTTGGTTTATCCGGAAGGAGATGGCCCAACACCCTATCCCACCTTAGGATACCCCTAATCAGTGGCGTAACAATCACCATAGCGACCCAGGCGGCCGCTATGGGACACGGGGCGCGGCGGGGCCCGGCCAGGACATCTCCCTGATGCCGTGCGGGCCGCCTGGGTCGCTATGGCATCTGGCTCGGACAGCCAGGCTGCTGGCTGTCACTGGCGGCAGTGAGGAGGAACGCTCCGTTCCTTCTCACAGTCGCTGCTGATTCGGTGACAACCAGCAGTTTCGGAGGAGGTGGCTGGGCCCGTTATCAGCAGCGATCGAGGAGGCGGGGCCCGGCAATCGAGGAGGCGGGGCCCGGCAATCGAGGAGGCGGGGTCCAGTGACGGAGGAGTCGATCGTGGAGGAGAAGGAGGCGGACAGAGGATCAGGGCTGAACTAATGTTCTCAAATTCATATGTAAATTTAATTTAAGAGATACTACTCACTGCCGGGACCTAATACCAGAGCAAATGAAGGTGGAGTTATTGAAATATTTTGTCATACACCCCTAAGAACGAATGCTACATTTAACCCTCAAACTAATTCGTAATTTTATTCACTTCCCTAGAAAACAAAAAGATATAGTAATACACCATGCACATAGGTGTTGGGGGGGGGGCGTGTTGTGGTCCGCCCTCGTGTGCAAGCCTGCCTGGACTCCTTCCTATCCCTGATCATGACGGGCCCGAGGCCCGGCTGCATGGCCCACTTGTGCCCGGCCTGCAGCGCTGCATCCAGACGCGCCTGCACTGTCTCCTACGGCCAAACCCCTGGGCTCTTCTGAGGTGGAATCCTCGGTTCGTATGGACCCCTCCGCATCCCCTGCTCAGTCCCTACCCGATTCAATGCTGGAACTGGCGGCCCAGACATCGCCGGTGGATTCGCGGCCACTCGGCTGTTAAGGCCTAGCAGACAAGTCGGACCTGTGCGCTATACTGGCTGCGCTCTGACTTGGCGGAGGTTAAATCGGGGGTTGCGTGTGATCCCAGAGGCTACTAGCGGGTCTGATCTCAGGGCAGCCATCACCACCATATTTAACGGATTACTGGGTAAGCCCCCGACAGATCAGATCGAACTTGAACGTATACATAGAACCCTCTGCCCTAGAGGGGCTGATTCAAACAGGCCTAGGGACACAGGCCACAGGCCTAGAAACAGGCCTCTGCCGAGTACATTTTGTCAACATAAAGGAGGAGATCCTCCGCAGGGCCTGGAGGCAGGGTTCGGTGGACTTCGATGGGGCTGACATTCAGATTCTGCCGGATGTATGCCCCCAAACCCTGTACTGCAGGCGCCTTCTAAAGCCCCTTACTGACCTACTACAATCAATAGGATTCCCTTGCCGGTGGGGCTTCCCATTCTCCGTGATTATTGGAAGAGGTGAACGTTCATTCAGGCTGACACACCCACGTCAAGTGCCGGCCTTGGCAGCTTTTCTGGATTGCAAGTCCCTATCTCTCTGTTACTGGCTGAGCGCCCCTTTCTCAGACTGATCTGCCTGCTAGCCTCCTAGACCTGCAAGGAATCGTGGAGCACGCCAGAGGTTGGCGACCCAATATTTGCTGCAGAAGAGTTGATCTGTTCTGGATTATCTCGCTTTTCTACACCACGGATGGGCCACTCCCATATTGTGATCTTTGTTATGTTGCCCAGCTTCACCTTGAAGATCTTCTTAGCATAGCCTGTGTTTTGGGAGTACGCATTGCAGGCGTCAGGATGTTCTACTTGATGTATCGAATACACTCTTCCCATCTTTTAACGGCCCCCTTTGGGGCAATACTGCCTTACAGTTTATATGTTTTTGTTGAAGATCAGCTTAGCGGTTAGTGTTCTTGCGGATCGCAAGACAGTGACTCTTTATACCATTTGCGCCCTGTGTTTTTTTTTTTTTTTTTCTTTTTTCAAATCTTTATAATTTTATCTTTTATAAATTCAAAAACATATACATGTCCATACAAACAGAACGTAAGAAAAAGAATATGGAACCCAATACCATCGGGTAAGCACCTTTTTATAATTGGTTTCTTGAACTCTGGAATCTATAGATGAGTTATGGGCCCATGCTAGTATTTGGTCCTTCTGTACGTCCGAAAAAGTCATCCCCCATGTCCCTCTCCCATTCTCTCATAAAGTACAGAGAACCTCTTGAGCTTATTTTCAATAACATTTTATACATAAATATAGTCACGCGCCCTGTGTTTTGATGGGCTTCATGTTATATGTATTAGACACATTTTGGTTTATTGTTTTTCTTATATCAGTTTCTGCTGGGGTAGGGAGTGGGTGGTGAGGGCGGGGTGGGCATTTCCTGGAGTGTTAACATATTCTGTCTCAAGTCATGTAACACCTGGTATAAGTTTGGGGTTTGTGGATCGCAACTGCGGAGGCCAATCAGACGGAACCCTGGTTTCACTCCCAATCTTAACGGGGAGTTAGGGTTCAAGCATCACAGCCAAAAATAACAGAGGTAAAAAGGTTGGATGGGATTATTACTGCATAAGCAGAGCGTATAAAGAATGTGATGGGTCCGTTGTTTGCCTGCTCTTCAGGATGCTGCAATAATAGGGCTGCCACTAACTATTATTTTCATAATTTATTAGTTGGCCGATATTTTTTTCGATTTTAATGGGATTAAAAAAAAAATACCATCCTTAAGTTAAAATAAAAATACACAAATGGAGGAGTGTTGCAAACATAAAGTTTACTAAAGAAGAATAAAACTGCATGCACAACTTTTTGCAATAGCACTGTACTTGAACATACAGTATTGCAGTACCACACATTTCAGTGTAACTTATTGCACTATGGGTGGAAGGCGCATTTGGGGTGACACTCAAATAGCGCCGCAACACACCTACCACACCACAATTTGTCCGGGCGAAAATTACTTTACCCACTGTGACAGGGTACACGATTCTGTGTATGTCAGTGAGAGGTTGAAAAGGGCAGCTTTCCCTGGCTAGGAAAGGGTTAAGCCTGGCCTACCGGTAAACCTCCTCTCTCCTCTATTAATTAGCCTGCACCTGATAGTGACTGGGAGGGGGAGAGAGCTCAGAACTCAAAGCTCAGTATATAGGGAGCTATTGTTCACTATATTCCGAGATCGCTGCAGCCGGGGCGGATCCTGACAATGCTGTCAAGATCCACCCAGCTGTGTGGGTGACAGCGACCGCTGTCTATCTAGAACCCTCCACCTGTCAGTTTCTCCAGTTAGCTCTGGAGGATTGGAGCGGGGAGGGGGAAAATCCTGGTGGGGAGCTGTGACTGACAGTCACCGCTCTGTGCAGGGAGATGATCGGAAAGTGAGCGAGTGACAGTATGCGTTCACTCACTTTCCGATCTATAGATCCGACCTGTGACAGTTTTGTTGTCACAGGTCGCCTCAAACTATGAGGCTGAGTGAAAATCACTCACCTCATAGTTCTCCTTTTAACGTTTCTACTTGCTAAATTATTTTCTCTCCCGTTCATTGAAGGACACAGGTAACAGATCGTAGATCCTGAATGGTAGGGTAATATCGCCACCTGCAGGAGAAGGACGCTAGGCACAAAACTAAAGACCAATTACAGCCTAGGGGCGGCCCCTGCCGGTGGCCAAACCCCCCACCTGCTGACAAGTCTCCAGTTTTTTGCCTAGCGTCAGGAGTAAGGAGCTAAAAATGTTTCTCTGGAAAAAAATGTTTTTCCTTCTTCCGTTTGACTCGATTTCTTCTAGCAAGTGTCCCCAGGGCGACATGCTGGATGACTGTAGATCCTTGTAGTCTCCCCTGGGTGACCGTCAAGCGCATGCTGACTCTGCCACGGTGGGTCGGCTGCGACATGTGGTCCCCCCTGACGCCTGTGGGTTCGTCCCGGGGAGTGCATATGACAGGGGGTCCGGGCCTGCCTGTCACAGCGCTCCCAATTTGGATTGGGTTCGCGCTCTTCGTGTTTTTTTGGAAGCTATGGCTTCTTTCCGCGGGACCGACTCCCTGTTCGTGCTCACGGAGGGTCCTCGTAAGGGTCGGGCCGCGTCGGCGGCTACCATCTCTAGGTGGATACGTACCGTTGTGACTCAGGCGTACGCCGTTAGGGGGCGTGAGCCTCCGTTTCCTGTCACTGCCCATTCTGCTAGGGCTGTTGGGGCTTCCTGGGCTTTCCGCCACGGGGCCTCTGTTTCTCAGGTTTGTAAGGCCGCTACTTGGTCTTCTGTTCACACCTTTGTTAAGTTCTACAAGGTGGACGTGTTAGCATCGACGGATGCTGGTTTGGGGCGCAAAGTGTTGCAGGCGGCGCTTTGAGGGGTCTTTTGGGTGTTTTGTTGTTGCCCATCCCTCAGTGTGTTACTGCTTGGTGACGTCCCTACCATTCAGGATCTACGATCTGTTGCCTGTGTCCTTCAATGAACGGGAGAGAAAATAGGATTTTTGTACTCACCGTAAAATCCTTTTCCCTCTGTTCATTGAAGGACACAGGCCCCGCCCTCTTTATGGGGTGTACACTCCTAACTGCTTGTTACTAAACTGGAGACTTGTCAGCAGGTGGGGGGTTTGGCCACCGGCAGGGGCCGCCCCTAGGCTGTAATTGGTCTTTAGTTTTGTGCCTAGCGTCCTTCTCCTGCAGGTGGCGATATTACCCTACCATTCAGGATCTACGATCTGTTGCCTGTGTCCTTCAATGAACGGAGAGAAAAGGATTTTACGGTGAGTACAAAAATCCTATTTTTTAATGATTATTTTTTATTTTTTTTACTTGACTGTTAGGGGCTTTGGGGAAATATCAGGGTTCTTAACATACCCCTGATTATTTCCTTTTTGAAATAAAAAACAGGTATTGAGGACAGAGTCCTCCAATCTCTCTATCTGCAACACCAGCACTCAATAAACAGGAAGCCCTCAGTATAGAGGCTTCCTGGTCATTCATAAATCGATGAGATAGTACTAGGTCCACAATCATGAATGAACAGGAAGTGATGTAGAGCGCTTCCTTTCATTATTGGGTACACAGTGTCTTAATACTATGTCCTTAATTATTTACAAACATAGTGATCAGTACTGATCACTGCAATGTTTGAATATTGCAGGGAACAATCAGTAAATATTTCACATATGTGCTGATCGTCCTGTAGCTCTCAGCCCCCCCGCTGCATAGTCGATACGGCAGGGGTGGAGGGGGTTTGGGAAGGTTTGGTGGAGCTCTCCCCCGTGCTGGGCACCGTCTGCCTGGGTCTATGTCCTCCTTGATTCCCGCTGGGAGCAGCGGAGTGCGGAGGGGACACTAAGCCGGTGAAACACCGGATCCCAGAGCAGAGAACTAGGGGGCCCAGACCAACTAATCGGTAAGGAGAATAGTTGACAACTATTCTCATTATCAATTAATCGATTAGTTGGTTACAGCCCTATGCAATAATGAAACCTGTTGGACGGGACTAATTGACATTATTATGCCTGCAAGGCTGTGGCCTTTGATGCTCTACTTACCATGAGGAATCTGTTACACTGCACGGCAATATTTATATGTAATTCGGATCTGTACAGTGCAACATACGCACTCATATTGTGTGAGTGGTTTTATATGGAATGATTTTATTAGTTTAATAAAGTGATATTGCTCTATGGGGTTTATTTATGAGCAGTTTGCAGAGCCCCTTACACTGCAAATCTCTGTGAATGTTTGTTCTGTGTGAATGGAGGCAAAAGCAAATGCTTTTTATTATATTTTCTTTTCTGGTCAAATGTGTTATTCAGAAACTACCACATTATGGTTAGTAGATGGAGCATAGGAAATAGGTATTTTCTATGCTTATTACCTATTGCGCTATCCAAATGTAAAAAAAAAAAAAAAAAAGTTTTGCAGTTCATATGCAGTTCATGCAGTTTTATATACTTTAAAATAATTTTGTTAACCAATATTGGTTTGTGCATTGATAATTTACTAACTGAGGAGTGTGCCATAACTCGGCTAATGCTTCTTTTATATCTCAATTTCCAGGCACTCTCGGGAGAGAAATTATGCAAAAGAACTAGAATCATGCAGGCTGGAAAGAGTGCCTGTGGAATATGGAGATTACCACCCCTTAAAAGCCACAACTGTAAGTACTTTGTAATAGAATAAAAATCAGAGGGCATTTAAAGCTAAGCTCTGGAAACAAAAACTCTGGTTATACTACATCAAGAGGACTGCTGCAGATGTTAAAAAGCTTAGTTGGCTTCTTGACATATTTGCTGTTGGCATTGATCATCCGGCTCTCCTGACTCTCCCTAGTTTGTATTATTATACAGGATTTATATAGCGCCAACAGTTTGCATAGCGCTTTAAACTATATGGAGGACAATACAGCTACAAAACAAATCAAGGCAAGATGGTAAGGAGGGCCCTATCTGTTAGAGCTTACAATCTAAAAGGAAGGGGTAAATGATACAAGAGGTGGTAGCTGTGTGGGGATGAATTGTTTCAGAAAGTGATTGTTCAGTGGTTAGGTTGAGGCAGGATAGGCTTCCCTGAAGAGCTGAGTCTTTAGAGATCGCCTATCCTACAAAAAGAATCATACACGATGTCCAAAATCTCTGCTAGCAGGGTACAGCTGAAAGATAAAGAAGTAACACGTGCCAATTCCAGAAAACAGTAAGTCCCCCCTGCACTCCCTACAGCGTTCCCGGTCAAAGTAATAATCGTGGTGCTCGAAGTGACGATCACGGATGGTGCCGTGCACAGCAGTCAATGGAAGATAGAAATCGCCAGCACTCAGCAAATAAAGTTCAAAGAATAATGTCCATTTATTTGGACCAAACATCACACATCGCATAATCCAACGTTTCGGAACCATGTAGGGTCCCTTCATTAGGGCAGAGATGTGACTTACACATGTGCCAGAGGTTTCAGGCAGTAGTTTTCAGAATAACTGTCAAAAAGCTTATACTTTTTGTAGTTTTAGTAATTTTTATGATTTCTTCATGCATGTGGAACCTTCAACTACCTGTACTACCACATTTCTCTATGTACACTTTTAGGGTAAATATGTATTTTTATTAATTTTCCAAAGCATGAAAAATAGGTAACAGATAGATAAAGGTAAGAAAAAAAGTTAAGGGTATACAATAACTTTATTTAAATCTGCAAAAAAGACAATTGGCCATTGCGGGCACCTAGGCAGCGAGCAAACGTGTACAATAAACAAAGATCACTCTCAATTACCACAACAAGTAGGTAGATCATTCAAAAACTGTAAATTTGGCATTAAGAAAAAGGAGGAAAACGTGGGTTTCCCAAAACTGGGTCAAAGGGGCCCACATAAGAAGAGGTATTGCAGGTCTTAACGAAGGAGTCCCAAATCCTAAGGGAGGGGAGAGTGCAAAGCTGGAGCGAACTGTCTCGTGGGCGGTCAGATGGGTCGATCCATGGGGATGATTTTAATGGAAGGGGGATGTCCTCTTCTTCATTTAACTATGCTATTTATTATCAAATTTTTTTTTAGCATGTCATTTTTATAGATCATTTTTGTGAACAAACTTATTCGCCAATAAAGTCATTTTCAAAAGTATGCTTAATAACGAGATGGATAATAACAAATAAACCAATAAACCTCGCAATCGTCATGGATAACAATCCGTAAATCCTGGAGAAGGGAAAAAAAAAAGAAAGAATATACAGGGACTAGGAGAGCTGTAAAAAGGGTCAGTGTAATCAATATCAATTTATTGGAACTGTAAGTGCCTGTTCACACGACGTCCGTTTTCTGTGCTGACCTGATCCGTACGCTCCTGCACTCAAAATGCATCCCAATGTATCCCTATATGTGTTTTATGGGCTACAGTTCTCGCGTGCGCAGTCCGTTCAGCTCAGGGCCGGCCTTAGGGGTGTGCGAGCTGTGCGGACGCACAGGGCGCCATGGCAACAAGTGCGCCGTGCGGCTGACACAGCTCGTCCTGGGGGTGGCTTCTCTCCCCCTCACCGCTGGCCATCCAATATGACAGCGCTCCCTCCTCCGCTATGTGTCCCCAGTTATGAATGAACAGGCTGTGATTTACATCACAACTCTAGAAGGTAGGAGTATTGGACGGCCACCACAGAGCCCATCCTTCCTTTTCAAAGTTTGTTCACAGCTTGAATTAATATCACGGTTTAAATTTTAGTTTTCTGTGTTGTTTTACTACACCGCTAGCGAGAGGTTCACGTGTTTAAGATATACATGCCGCACCAATGAGGTTGATCACTGGCACTAATTCTGAAGGTTCCAGTGTTGATATGTATTATTCTTATTATGTTTGTGTGTTGAACCTTCTAGAGTTGTGATGTAAATCACAGCCTGTTCATTCATAAACGTATTAGACGTGCGAAGACTAAAAATTAATTTCAGATGAAATGAACGAAAACGAAACATTTTCATTTGTTTCATCAAACAAAACACTTTTTTGTGCTATTTTGGATTCAGCCATTGGCGTGTTCTGGAGGCAGGGCGCATGACGTCATATAACACCGCACGTGTTTGGCGCCGCCATCTTGGTGTATATCTAGGTATACACCAAGATGGTGGGGCCAATATCGGCGTGTGACGTCACCTGACGCCAGGCATGCATGGCGTCATGTAACGTCATGCTCACTGCCTCCAAGATGGTGGCACGCATTCACAGAACACGCCAGGGGCCAATATGGCCGCCGCACATTCTCAAACGAATTACTATGCGCCTGAATACATTTTTCGTATATTTGGACATATAGTAATTCATTAATTTTACAAGTAGTCTGGGTTTTGTGTTCTTATTTCTATTCTTACTTTTCTAGATGCACTTACTTGAACAAAGGGATCGGCATGACAACCTGACACTTTATTTTTATAGACTCTATTTTAGCTTGACATTTATTGTTTGCCTTCTGTTGTTTTATTTGATAAAAATACTTACCGTATTTTGCGGTCCATAAGACGCACCGGACCATAGGACGCAGGGAGGTCCGGCGCGCCTTTATAGAGCACTCGACAGACTAGCTTCTGTCGCAGCTTCTCTGACAGAAGCTGTGACAGAAGCTGCAGTTAGTGACCGCTGAGACAGGTGGCGCTGTGATTACAGCGCCACGGTCTCAGTGATCACACAGAGCAGACGAAGAAAGTCCGTTCTTCGTCTGCTCTATGGTGATCTCGATCGTCGCTGCTGCTCGGTTTTAATACGAGTGATCTCATTAGATCACTCGTATTAAACCAGCAGTGGCTCCTACTACTCGCCCGGCGCCCGAAACTGCATGTCTCGGGCGTCGGGATTCGCTCCATAAGACGCAGGCACATTTTCTCCCTCCTTTTGGGGGGGAAAAAAGTGCGTCTTATGGAGCGAAAAATACGGTATATTGTGCCGACAACTTTTATTCAAAAGGTATTAAACGTATTTTTATCATATTTTTTAATATGTTTCTTTGCTGCTTAACAAAATAGGAGTCTTTAAATGGTGCGGATATTGGGAAAATGGGTGTGGTTACGGGGGTGTGGCCATCGAGGGGTGTTGTCACTGAGGGGCGCTGTAAGGTCTCGGTCACACCTAGGCGTATTGCATATGCGCGTCTGTCGCGTGGTTTTACCGCGATTCGCGGTAAAAAAGTCGCGCGACCATCGCGTGTTTCCGAAGGCTACTTGGCTGTAGCCCAATGGAAACGCGCAACAAAACGGCCCAAAGTAGTACCTGTACCTTTTCAGGTGTGGGCCGTTTTGTAGCGCGTTAGGGACGGGCGGAAATACGCCGAGGTGGGAATGAGACCATTGAATACAATGGGATTTATATTTTTGAGCGTTTTGTAGAGCGTTCGTCGAGCGTAGAACGCGCTACAAAACGTTCAGGTGTGAACGAGGGCTAAAGCTTTCTCGCACAGGGCCCCTAAAGGCTAAAGGCCGGCTCTGGTTCAGCTTACGGCAGAAAAATACTGCATGTCACATTTTGTACGGTCAGCAAACGCGTCAAAACGCATCCAAAACGCACTGCACTGCAGCTAACATACTAACAGCCCCACTCCAGCAAAAATACTTTTTTTTTTTTTTTTTACTGGAACGCATCAAAAACTCGGCCAATACGCACTGCATCAGTAGCACCGCGTCTGCAGATCCGGACCTGATCAGGACCTGAAACTCATGTGAACAGGCCCTAAAGGACATCTAAGGCACTCAGAGATCCAGCGACTTTCGAAGTGAGGTACCACTCACTGTATCCCGGAATAGTAACATCACATCTTTTAGTTGACTAGGAGACAGTTCAGTCGGGAGGAATGGTATCAAAATTTTACAAAATAAGCATACAAAAGAAAGAGAAAACTAGGTCAACATATCCAGTAACACATTTACAAGTGAATACCAAAAAAACCACAATGAAGTTAGTCTCAGTACAAAATGCAAGATTTAGCATTAGCTTACAGTATACTTAATAGAATCCACAAAGTATCACAAGAACTCCAGGGTATTATACTAAATTACAAAGGTCAATCCGGAAGTATTAACTACCCAGGGACCCCAAATATGATCAAAGCGGTGCGGATTACCCCGCTGTTCATAGGTAAGCTTATAAAGAGGCAAGGATTAACCAAATGTTTCCAGCAACTTGGAGAAGGAGCCCTTGGGCTACCCCACACCAGGAGGATGGCTTTCCTGGCATAAAATAAAAGTAAACGGATGAGGGACGGAGCCCCAGAATCCAACATCCGTTCACGAAAAAGACCCAATAGGCAAAAAGTAGGGTTGCTGAAATTGGGGAAAACCAAACCAGTCTTCATAAAAGAGCTAACAGCAGGACCAAAAGGAGTGAAATAAATCTGCTCTTTTGATCACAGCGTTTGAAGCACTGCGGATTGTAATGAAGACCCAAAGTATATAGAAAGGATGGGGTATAAAAAAAATCTCATTTGCAATATTCTATCTCTGAAGGCTATCACAGAAGACATATATGTATTTTCAAAATCACTCCAATCATCCATGTCAAGGTCCGGGATAACTGTCTGCCATTTTTGCTTACATTTAGCAAATCTGGAAGATCCAGTGGCATTAAGTTTCGCATAATAAGTTGATACCAGTTTAGTGGAGATATTTCTACTTAACATTTTTTCCAGAGGAGACTGGATTTG